TATTCATATCCCCAGTGACATCACCAACGTGGGATACCTACACCGGGAATGCGGGCGGTCTGGGTACTTCTTTGTAACTAACATCCCTCCATTACTGATAATGATAATTTTACGTGGAAAATTTTGTTTTTACGTATGCAAAGTAAAATTCTATGATCGCTGCATTTCTTACGTTATAATTTTGCATTTTCTCAGCAAAAAGTCGTTGTAAACTTTCGCCAATGCTGCTCCCACTTTTTTCGTTCAACAGGCAGAAACATTTGTTTTTTTACGATTTTCAAACATTCAGCCAATGGGGCAAGTCCAAGGATCATCTTTTCATGGCAAATCCTTCCATGAATGGTAGGTAAATATACACCGACCATGCTGATATGAATAGGCCATAAATTGATGCTCACTTATGCATACTATAAATTGCACGAGTTCTTGCCCAACAGAAGGGGCCCATTTTGATGGAATTTTTAGCGTCGTATAAGAAATGTACGTAGCTTTTACCATTCGGTATTTCCTGGCCAATTATCACAGCACCCAAGTAAAACTTCACCTCCTGTTTTTGTTCCTCTTGCGCATTAGTGAGTGGTACCGGCGTGAAAATAAACGGCAAGTCAGCTAGCTCTGAAAAATGCCACATTTACATCAGACAAGTGATAGATGCTAACTGGAAGTATGCAGAGGCTCAAAATCGAAGGACCACGCATAGCTGTATCCTGTGTGGTGCGCCCGAGTAATATCACTAACATGGAATACCCATACTGATTGCCCGAGCAGTCCTGGTTTTTATAAGCATTTTTGCATAAATGCAAATGCAAAAACGCATACTGGCAATAGGCTCTCTGTGTGTATGTTCACACTTTTTGTCGTTCACCTTCAACTCGAGAACCAGAAACGATAAAAGGTAGAAACTTCGGGGAGTACATGCATGCACCGTGTGCGATTTTCCCCTCTTAATATCATCATTCGCGTACGCCTAGGCGCAGCGTACGGACGCCTTAAAAAAATAAGCAAATTTTTTGGGGGAGAGCGATCTCGGAAACCAGATAAGACAGAGAGCTGAAACTTTGCAGGGACATTCTCTGTACATGTGTGAGCTAAGTTTTCAAATTCAGCCCTAGGTTTTCGTGGTTCCTTGGCATGTGAAATATTTGTTGGGAAAATTGCTAGCTCGGCAACCAGAAAACCTGGAATTTTTAGGGTACGTTTCCCGTTCACGTACAACTCAATGATTTCAAATTCAGCTCCCAAGTACGTGTGGTACTCACGTCCGGGAATGAGAAAGTTTTGGTGGAAGAATTACTAACTT